ATAGAAGAAATACCAATCGTGGTAGAAAACATTAGCACCAGAAGGTAATTATTCCCTACATTTGTATGTTGTTTTATTACCTTTCTTAACATGTCCAAATACACTTCTGTTTGGACTTCAAAGACAAGTGGTATCAGCCCATTTCACAAATAGGAACACGGAGGTTAATAAACTTAAAAAAATCACTGGAAACGGATTTAAAAAGCAGCTCCCTGGGAAGTGTCGTGGAGACCTGCTGCTTTTGCCTTTCTGTCTTAGCTTGGGCTGTGGTAACACACTACATGTTGTATGCTGGGTGTGCCTTCAGTGACAAATTTATTTTCACACAGTCCTGAGCCTGGGCCTTGCATGGTCAGGGCGCAGCCATTTCAGGCTCTGGTGAGGGGGGTCTTCCTGGCTTGCAGATAAGCCACCTTTGCTGTAGGAGGGGGAGAGGGCGAGGGAGAGAGCTCAGGTGTTTCTTATAAGGGCACTAAAGCCATGATGAAGACTCCACCCTCATGACCTTACCCAACCTTAGGCTCCATCTCCAAAACAATACACTGGAGGTTAGGACCTCAACATTGGGATCGGGGTGGGGGTACATAACACTGCCAAATATTCGTTCCTCTTTCTGGGATCTGCACCCTCATTTTTCCTGGGGGAACGACCCCTCCCCCAGTCAGTTCCTGTGGTTCTGGAGAACTACTCACCCCCAGCTCCATGACCAAATGGACCTTGGCCTGTCCAGTAGAAGTGGTCCACCTCTCTGGTTATAGTGATTGGTTGAAAGGTGGGGCCATGACCCATTATTTGGACCAATGAGAAGGCCTGTGATGGACTAAATTGCATCCCTCTCCCCCACAAAGTTCATGTGTTGAAAGCCTAACCCCCAATGTAACTATTTGGAGATGGGGTTCTAATCCAAGAGGAAGAGACACCATATTTCTCTCTCTCTCTCTCTCTCTCTCTCTCTCTCTCTCTCTCTCTTTTTCACTCAGAGAAGAAGGGCTGTAGGAGGACACAGTGAGAAAGTGGCTGTCTACAAACCAGGAAGAGAGGCCTCACCAGAAATCAACCCCAATGCCACCTTGATCTTGGACGTCTAGCCTCCAAAACTGAGAAAATAAATCTGTTGTTTGCACCTCCCACACTGATATCTAGTTGCAGCATCTTAAGCAGGTGAACACTGTGCCACAACCTCAGGGAACCGGGTTCCCTTATACAGAGATGGGGTCGTTAGCCCGGGGGAACCACATGCTGCCAGACGTCAGGAGAGAGCCTGCCTGGGAGAGGAGCAAACCCTGCAGGGTCTGAAACCCTGAGGCACAGGTCCCGGCTGCCTGATCTGAGTGCCTGCATCCAACTGTGTCTGAAATAGGTTTCCTCTCTGCGTTCCATAGTTACACAAGTCGATGAATTCTTTTTGCTTGAGTTTAGTTTCTGTCACTTGCAAGCAAAACAGAGTTTAGTTTCTGTCGCTTGCACCAACTAACACAGAGTCAACTCTCGTCATTATATCTAACCAGATATGTCATCCTAATCACACTGGTATAAATGAATTGTGGTCAGACCGTAACTCTAATCAAAGCCTTAGACACTGCACCTCCTCAGGTTAGGTGGATGGAGAAGAACTTGGAAATTCTTGAATTCTCACCAGCTACCTATCTGGCTTTTCCTCTCCTTGAGTATGAAATCTTTAAATGGGGATATGGAGTTCTTTGCCTAAGCTCTTGCTCCCCCAGGAGGCAGCCCCTCACACCGAAAAAGCATCACACCAGTGTAGACATCCCAGCAAACTTGGCAGCATCTCTGATCTGGGGAGCCTCTTCTTGAACATCAGACCAGCACATGGCTCTTGTGCTGCCGAACATCTTGCTCAAGTTCTTACATGGTCATGATGAAGCAATTAACACATAGTGACCACTACCAGTTGCTATTTCCTATCTGCGTTGGTAACACATTAGCCAAGAGCCGTCACAGAAACCCAACAAAGTTTCAACTCCAGTGAGCTCAGGAAATGACAGTAGCCTCATATTCCAGCATGCATCTGAATCTTGTGGGAGGAGGGGAAGGTGGCTTACCAAAACATAGATTGCTGAGTCTCACCCCCACCCCCCACCCCCCGCCCCCGAGTTTCTGATTCAGCAATTCCGGGTGGGGCCCAAGAATTTGCATTTCCCACAAGTCCCCAGGTGCTGCTCTGGTCTGGGGAGTATACGCTGAAAATCACTGATTTAGAAGATTGCTGGAGAATGGGATGAAGGCCACTCGGTGGAGGAGAAATTATCCAGCGCTTGGTTTTTCCCGCTTCCCTGAACCTTCACTTCAGCAAAGACTCCCTGCCATTTCCACCATGGGGTTTTTGAAGCCTGGGACAGGGACAGGAGTGAAAATGTAAAGCTACATGGAAAATAACCCACAAGGCCAACTTCATGCCCGGGGGTGCAGAGCTGGAAATGTTAGAGAATTTCTGCATGTCTATTGCATTGTCACAGCAGCCAATTATCATTGTTTTTTAAAGAAATAAATGGATGGTCCAGGTGACTGCTAACTATCTAAAGAAAAGACAAATATTGGAGGCAATTTACGGGGGTGGGGGGTCATGAAAATTGACAATGTCTTAACTTTGGCAATGACTGGTTCTCAATCTCGTGTTCACCAGAACCACTTGGGAGACTTTGTCAAAACAGAGATTGCATGAATATCTCCACCTTCTAGAATTATAAAGACTGCCCCATTGATGACAATCTTCTGATGACAGGACAGCCCTGACATCCAATAATCTCATAAAGGAGATCTTTTTAATGTTAACTCCAAATGAAGATACAAGTTTTGATAGGAGAACTCAAGAGTTAAAGATTAAAGGAAAAAAAAAGATTTTAGCCTTAGTTATAGTTGATAGGCTTAAGTGATTAATGCCTGCTGGAAGCTGTTATTTCAGGAACTGGAATGTAGGACCTGTGACTCCAGGAGGTCACCAGCAATTTGACCTTTGTGCTGGAGGGTGTCTGCAAGCAGCTGATGGAGGTGGTATCTGAGCCGCTGTGTCCCAGGGAGGGAACTTCTGCGGTGGAGATAAAGGAGTTGTTAATCAGCCGATAAACAAGTACTAGGAAAACCGCAGTCCAACTGCAAAGCTTATCTGATTAACCTTTATCCAAACCCCTTACCTACCCTTTCCTTCTCTCTATAAAAATGTCAGCTTGAAATGAGATGTTAAGACTTGGGTTGTTCTGGGGTGTTTTTTTTAAGGGTACCTAACCTGCCATCTCAGATTGCTGGCATCTGAATACACTGCCCATAAAGATTCAGTCCTTGTCTCTACTTACTGGGTCTGGTAGTGAGAGGCAGCACAGATGCCAGCTTTTCCAGTTTCAGCTTGGCCACAGGGATGCTCTGCTCAAAAGAAACACTGATAAACATATCTCACTGGGGTAGTCCTGTTTGGGCTTGTTCATTTAAAAATAACCCAGACAGAATGCAACCTAGTATATTCCTTGAATAACTGTTGGCAGCTTCTAATGGAAGTAAACATGCTCACCGTGTGACCCAGCAAATCCACTCATTGGTATTTACCCCAAAGAAATGAGAGTTTATGCCTATCAAAAAAAATCTTACCAGAATGTTCATTACAGCGTTATTGGGTACAACAGAATGAATCTCAAATGCACTGTGCTGAGTGAAAAAAGTCAGATATAAATAAGATTATTGTGTATTATTTCAAGTATATTGTGGACCCTGAGAAAGGGCCCCTGGGGGCTAATTGGACTCAAAATTTTTAAAAAAAGAACAAAAACAAAAAAACAGAGCTCACCAGCCTTTTCTACACAGGGACCTATCACACAAACTGTATTTCAAGGAGAAGCCCGCACTCAGTTGCCTGCCTTCTGCCCTGAATTATTTTCCTGCACTGTATTCCTGCCATGTGAGCCAGCTCTTATAATAGAGTTCCTGGAATTATTTTTCAACTAATAGGAATGAGGCTTACCCCATTGCCATCTTCACCAACCAATCAGAGTGGCACTATTCTGACCAATCAGGACAGTGTCTTTTGGACCAAACTATGAGGATTTGAAGTCCTCATTTGCATGAGGATGGACCAATCAGGGACCAGGGTCAGGGATTTCTGTCTCTGTAAGTCAGCTCGCTCCCTTCTGGCTCTGAGAGTACACTCTCCCTTTCTACTGAAGACTGAGGTTCCCTGGCTAGAACTGAAATAAAGATGAAACACTAAATACACCTGCCAGGGCCGGAGTGGAGAAGAGCAGTGAGGACAGGGCAGGAGGGCAGAGGAGAACAGAGCACCCCAGAGGAGACAGGCGTGGAGCAGAGCAGAGAGCTTAAGAGTGGTCTTGCCTAGTGCATCCTAACAGCTATGCTGTTCACAGCCTTGCTGCTTCATGATTGAGCTGTAACACCATTGAGCTGTTCCACAGCCGTGATGTTCCACAGCACTGAACAAAGTTTCCTTCTTCACTGCACTCCAAATTGGGTCCTGTTGGTGATGAATTGGCAGAACCATGGTGATAAAAGCAGACTGTGTTGATACCTGAAGCATGGCAGAAAAGGGGGTGCAGTGAGGAAAGGCAGACTGAGAAGGAGTAGGAAGGAACTTGTGGGGATATTGGCATGTTCTATTTGTTGATCTGGATGGTGGCTACACAGGGGTAGACACACAGAAAAATTAAGGTTGTTGAACACCGGAGCTTTGGAAATTTTAGTGTATGCAAGCGATACTTAAAGTAGGTGCTCTGAACACACAGCCGCACCCACACACCTCCCCAGGAGGCTCATACCCAGCTGTGGCCACCGCCTTGCCCACTTTGCCTTCAGCCCACTCCCTGCAGTACCTTTCCGGAAAGCGCTTGGCCTGCCCCTCCCAGCAGGTTCCGCACAGCTGGATGGGCGTTTCCCGCCTGGGCAGGGGACGTGTGAGCCCCGCCCTCCACACCGCCCCCGGACCGCTCACTCGCGCGCAGGCCCCGCCCCCGGCCCCGCCCCGCCTCCGCCCCGCCTTATCTGGCCCCTCGGTCCCCGGGCCGGGGAGGCGGCCGGCTGGCAGGGCCGCGCGATGTCGCACGGCGCTGGGCTCGTCCGCACCACGTGCAGCAGCGGCAGCACGTTCGGACCCAGGGCTGGCGGGGGACAGCAGGGCGCGAGCCCTTCGGAGGGTCTGCTGGACCCAGTCTACCCCCGCACCCATGGGGCCCTGCTGAAAGTGGCGCAGATGGTAAGAGAGGCGGGGCCGCAAGGCCGGGGTCACACAGAGTGGCCCAGGAAGGAAGGGATCCGGGCCCGGGAGGGGGCGCGCCAGGCGGAACCCGCCGGAGCATCGCGCCGCGGACGGGGTTCGGCGGCGCCAAAGTTAAGTTGGAGGAAGTTTTCTTCCCCGAAAGTTGGCTGTGCAGCCCCCGCCGACTCGGAACTCAGCCGCTCTCCCAGGCCCTTGCCCCGGAGGACCCATCTCCGCGGTCCCAAGCTCTTCCAGCCACCCTTCTGCGTAGCCTCGCCCGTCTCCGGATAGAAACCGCGGGCAGAAGTTCCTTTAGGTCTTCCTCTTCTCTGGGCCTCGCCACTTCGAACCCGAGCGGCAGGGGCGGAAGAGTCGCCCAGGCCGCGGCGCTGAGGCAGCGAAACCCGACCTCCTCCCCTGCCCGGCCTCCTCTTTCCTCCGAACCCAGCGCGCAGGGCTCCCGGCTCTGCGCGCACTTGCGTCCCTGGAAGGGAGTGCAGAGGTCTCGTTCCAGAGTAGGGGATAAGAACTGGGACCCCGGGGCAGCCGTCCTGGGTCCCCGCCCTCTCAAGTTCAAAGGGGTGCCCAGGTCTCAGGGGACCGTGGAAGGCAGAGGATCAGTGAGGAAAGCCTGTTTTGGGGAATCCGTACTTTTGGGGGGAAGGTGGAGTCGCCCGAATGGGGGTCACCTGTGGAGCCGAGCAGGATATGCAGGTCTGGGCTGAGTGGGACAGCGCAGGGGGTCTTCCACGAGGGCAGATGTTCCCCGGCCTGTTCTCTTGTTCCCCACTCTTTTCTCCCTTCCATATTTTTCTTTAAAAAGTTTTTCATCTTAAACACCTTTCCCGTTGGCTGTGTTTTGAAGCTGGGTTGGACTGTTGGTGGCTCTCCACTCATTGTGATGCTTGCAGTGAGAATGGCGAAGGGGGAAGTGACCGTTTTGAAGCGGGATGTGGAGAAAAGAATGTGGGGGTAGGAACAAGGTCACAGCCCCAGAAGCTGGGCCTGCCGAGGGGGACCAGCCCCAGGGGGCTGGGCACAAGGTGGGAGCTGCCCACGCATGCTTAACACCATCATTCCGGTGTGTGTAGAGGGGAGGGGGCTCTCATTTCCTGCTTGGGCCAGATCTGAAGGAAGGGGACTGAGTGCCCTTTTCTCAAAGAATGGCGTCTAGATGGACCAAAAATTAGTAAGTATAGGAATGTTAGTTACTGCTGAAAGAAAGAGAAATTGTACTGAGCAATGTTGATTTTGAGCAAGGCATTTTTTTTGTTCCGATTAAGAGAGATCTGATCAGCCAAAAAGAGGGGACCAGTTGACCTCCCATCCTTGAAAGATGGGTGGGGTGGTACAGTTGTACCTGAGCACTGGAAGACGTACCTGGGCCGGATGATGGTGGACAAAGATGGTGATCAGAAGCCTCTGTCTTGGTCTGTGAGTTTGATGGACAAAGGCAGTGGGATGAGAAGGCTCCGTGTTGGTCTATGTGTGTGGTGGACAAAAACTGGAGGAGAGAAACCTCCATTTCATTTTAAGCTCCTCAATTAGCTCCAGCCTGTGGCCGTTGTGCTGGGTTGCCAGTGACACTGGTGGAGCCTGTGCCAAAGAAGAGAATAGGACTTGGAGAATTGCTCCTCTGTGTGCCCCTCACAAAACCATGCCCAGGGGATGGTCACACCTCCTTCCTTCCCTCCCTGGGGAACTCCCTGTGCCCACAGGCTGATTTGAACAGATGCCCCTGGGAGTGAAATGGCCCTTGCAGTGTGGTCCTATTACAACAGAGAGACTATTTAGGACTGTCTGCTTGGACCTCTTGTCTGACTCCTCCCCATTTTCTCCTCTTTTGTGGGCCACCAGCTGGGTGTTGGATGTTCACTTGTCTTCTTTGTGGGAAAACTCATAGCCACCTTCTAGCACTGGGGGAGGGCAGAGGCAGCCAGCACAACCCTTTGGGCACTCTGTGGGTCTCTCGTTTTGACCACTGATGTCTCACCTGTACGACCCTCTGTCCTAGACTTCCTCTACAGTGTTTTCATCATGGTCTGATCAATGGACCTATCGATATATGGCCTTATGACATCATTGGAAAGGCTCTTCCTTTGGAGAGCAGCTTCCTCTTTTTGCTTTGGGAATATCTAGTGGATACAGCCAATTTGGCAAACAGTCTGGCAGTTCGTTCCTCAGACTGAAATATAGAGTTGCCGTGTGACCCGACAATTCTGCTCCTAGCTGTATACTCAAGAGAAATGAAAACATGTCCACACAAACACTTGTACATGAAGGTTCACAGCAGCGTTATTCATAATAGCCAAAAGGTAGAAACAACCCAAATGTCTATAAACTGATGGGTGGATAAATAAAACGTGGTATATCCGTACAATGGAATATTACTCAGGAGAGCATGGAATGAACTACTGACACACGCCACAGCCCGCGTGAATCTGGAAGACATGACGCTAAATGAAAGAAGCCAGGCACAAAGGGCCGCATGCTGTGTGATCCCAGAGTAGGCAGATCTGTAGAGACAGAAAGGGAGTCCGTGGTTGCTGCAGGCTGGAGGGCTTGGGAGTAATGGGGAGTAGGTAGGGGGTTTCTTTCTGGGGTGATGAAAATGTTCTAAATTGATTGGGGTTGGTGGTTGCACAACTCTGTGAATATACTAAAAACCTCTGAACTACACACTCTAAGTGTGTGGACTGGATCCCAATAAAGCTGTTACAAAGAGATGGATCTAGGGAAGAGTTTGGGGCTGGGGAAGGGATACCCTGCGTGAAGCATCAGGTACGGTGCTACACTTCAGGAACCCCCCTTGGTGCCCCACCGTGCCCGCTAGTAGAGGAAGGAATGTCCTCCTGGAACCTCAGAGAGTCCCAGCAGAAGTGCCTGGTGTCCTGACATCGCCTGGGTGCCTGAGGGGCCTGAGACTGATGGAAGGCCGCGGGGTCTGGAGGGGTCTGGAGGCCCTTGCTTGTGTCCGTACCAGCTCTTCCCACCAGTCGGTTCCGTTATCCAGCATACATTTATGAGCGCCACGTTCACTTCCATTTCTGCAGAAATAGGTGGCTGTGGCAAAGCCCTTGCTCTCAAAAACTCTGAGTATGAGTTGGTCAGGTTGGGGGTGCCTCATTTATTTCTCAAGTGCTTTTGTTCGGTATGGTTCAGTTGGAGAAAAGTGATATGTTGGGGAGGGGGTAGGTGAAAATGAAAAAGATATAGCAAGACCTGAGCCAATATTTGAGCAACTCTTAACCTTCCCACCCCTAACACTTAGAAAGAGACTTTATCTCACTTATGGAATGTCCACTATCTTCTTAACTTGGTGTGAGGCATGCAGAATATGGCAGTGACCAAGACAGTCCCTTTCGGCCTGTGCAGGAAAAAACTGTGACATTTGCAGAAACACAGTATGCAAGGAGGTTGGGAATGTCTAGTTCCACAGGCAGCGAAGATGGAAACCTGAGTGTCTTCCAGAAGGTTCATTTATTTATTCAACAAATATTTGAGCACTTACTGCCTGCTAGGACACTGTGGATAGAACAGTAAACAAGACAGGTCAGCCCCTGCCCTCCTCCGCTTTAATAGGGTAAACATTAATCAACTAATTATAAATATATAATTACAAATTGGGATAAAGGCTATGAGCGAGAGCCGCTCAGTGCCATGGAGAAGTAGCTAGGGGGCCTGACCTGTCTGGGGGATCAGGAAGGACTTCTCGGAGGAAGAGATATTTGAAGGGCGAGGGAACAGCATTAGTAGGAGAGGGAAGAGCGCAGACATTAGCTCCGAGTCTGGAGGATGAATGGCTGCTGTGTTCGGAGTGGAGGGAACAAGGGCGGGAGAGGCTGCGTGGGCCTGGAGAGACTGGCAGGCACCAGACCACCCCTGGTCTGCCAGACCATGGTGAGGGTGTGATCCCTATTCTAAAAACATCAGGGAAGCATTATGTCAATATTTACCCACCACTGAAATGGGGGTCATTTTGGAACTTTGTTGAAATCTGTTTGGGGATTAGGATCATGTTAGGTATCCATTTAATTCATTTCAGGATAGTAATGAGGCCACAGCAAATGCTGAATGTCTGAGCGCTGTTTTGTCTGAAATCATACTGAAGGAGTGCAGCTAGGCTGGGTGGAACCTGAGGGGTGTGTGAGCCTGGGGAGGAGGCCCGTTCCCAGACGCAATTAGACTGTGGGTGATGTCAGCCTCTGGGCTAGCGGTAAATGGACCTGTGGGTGGAGACAACCCGGCATAACCCAGAACAGTCCGCCCTTCTCCGCTGTCTGGGTCTGTGGAGCAAGGGAGCACCAGTGTGGTTCCCAAAGGCAGTCTGCACGCCCCTGTCCCATTTCCTGGCAGCTGGAGAGCTAAGGGCAGCAGCCCCACCGCCAAGGTTCTTTGACTCCAACCCAGTCCTGACCCAAGAACAAGGGAATACTTTCCATCACTGGTCAAACAAATAAAAATACTAAAACAAAGTAAGTTCCAGACTTTATTCCTAATAACGAAAGTAACAACCTGTTCGTTGTAGAAACTTTGGGACACAAAGAAGAAGGAAGTAGACTCCGTCTCCACTGAGATTAATATTAAAGTAAAATTGTATACTCTTTCATAGTGGGCATATATACACACACACTATATATAGTGTGTATATATATTTCATAAATATACTATATGTAATTTGGGTGTTTTTTGATCTTTGGGTTTTTTCCCTATAGAATTGGGATACTATATATATTTTATAAAATGCTTTTTTTTTCTTAATATGTGATGAATATTTTCTCATGTCACTTAATATTTGCCTGCAGTTTGGTTGATTTTTTTAAAGATTTTATTTATATATTTTTAGAGAGAGGGGAAAGGAGGGAGAAAGAGAGGGAGAGAAACAGCAATCAGCTGTCTCTCTCACGCCCCCAACTGGGGACCTGGCCCGCAACCTTTTGATCTGTAGGCCGGTGTTCAATCCGCTGAGCCAGACTGGCCAGGGCCACAGTTTGGTT